GAGCTACATCTCGTGTATTCTCTGATCATGTGAAGTGTGGAACTCTCTTCCTCGCAATGTATATCTACATTTGATGGGCCTTGTGTATTATAAATTCCACCTTTCCAGTGTCTTTCGTCTACTAACCAAAGATGCTGTCTAGCGCATGGACATAAGTAAGCCTTTGCTCTGTCTATCTTCTGGCTCTTCAAAAATAAAAGAATTATCATTAACATGCAATAGTTAGTCAGTGTTTTAAGGCGGTACAACGATAACCAATATACTAATGGTCCTCGTTTCTTCCTCACAGCCCTAATGGTGTTCTCGTTACCAGCGGAGAGCGGCGAGAAGATCGGTTTGGGGATTAACTCTATGTTGGCCATGATGGTGTTCCTGATGGCCATGACGGAGAACCTCCCTCCCACCGAGAACCTCCCTCTGGCGGGTAAATGGGGCTTCTTGCAGGTATCTAGGGGATAGATGATGCATCAACAGATAGCTAGAAGATCATGCAAAACGCTGAAAAAATCTACTGTAAATTTGGCAATGTACTGACGTGATTCCTTAAGCAATGAGCAAATTTCTTCAAATTTTAACGGTTCCTAAGGCCAGCAAAAGTGGACAAAATGTATTCAATAATTAATTTTAAATGTTAACTCATTAATTGTTTCAATACGTAACTGAATTATGAATTAAGTTCTACTTCATGGTTTCACTATTCGTACGTACAGTTCCCTTTAGGTTAGGTTAGGGCACCTTAGGTTAGGTTAGGTTTGTCATTTAATCTCCCCAAGAGTTTACGATTGGTTTATCATCCAGTTCCCCAACAGGTGCACAGCATGTGATATTAAGCAACGTGCTCACAAATGCAGAATAGATGTGTAATTAAATACTGTGACAGGTGTGTACTATGGTGCCTGCATCTCCATGATAACCATGAACATCGCGCTCTCCGTCACCGTCCTCAACCTGAACGTGATGGGACTGAGAGGCTACCAAGTACCCGATGTCCTCAAGTACGTTTATCAGATGCCTGTTGTGTAATACTCAGTACAGTACTCAGTTGTTCTTGTTCCTGAAGTAGTCAGCTAGATCATACCACCGTTAGTGTGTGAGAGAGATAAATGCCTGTTTAACGAGAGAAATATTTTCATATTTTAAAGTGAATTCCATTACCATTTTAATCAGTGTTTTGTTGGTAAATTGGCACTTTGCATAAAATGGATAGCAATAAAAAGAATGTCATAGTTTTTGTTTGATTTTTTCTTGAAAATATTACCGTCAGACAATCTACTGGCATTATAGTGTAAGGCAGAAGTAATCCTCGGTGATACACAGTAACACCAACAGGACTAGACCACGTCAGGTATCATTGGTGCAGTATACTGTAGCTACAAGTAAAAATATACGGTAGTTTCAACAACTTTATGTGATTTAATCTAAATAGGAACTAAATAAAATGTAAAATAACTTGACAACAATAAGAGGGATAACTGCTACATTATTTACCACAGTCTGGCTTTTTTTATTTTATTTTTATTTTTTTTTACGGGGGTTAGCCCACCCGGGCACAGGTCACTGACCCACATCAGGGCCTGGTGGCGAAAATATAATAATAATAATAATAATAATAATAATAATAATAATAATAATAATAATAATAATAATAATAATAATTCTAATTCTAATTCTAATTCTAATTCTAATTCTAATTCTAATTCTAATTCTAATTCTAATTCTAATAATAACAACAACAACTAATAAAAGTAATAAAAAATATATATTTAAAAGAAATATAATAATAAAATATTTCTAATGATAACCATAAATATACAAAAATGAAAAAAAAATCATTAGTGAGAAACAATATATGTATGTTGTGTTGTCAATACGTAGTAAGAGAAACAATTGAGACCCTGCAATTGTGTGTAAATGAGGCAGAAAGTCAGATCAGCAACCTGGGACTTGGTCAAAATTTTTGTGATGCCATATGGCAGCAGGGTCTACCATTAGACAACACATTATGCTTCCAATATCTTCCCAAGTATTTCATTCAAAATTTATTAACAACACAATACTTTTGTTACTTTAATGAATTAACATTATTCTGAATAGCTCTACTTAATTTATGGAACTGAATTATGATTATCGCTAATGAATGGAGTCTGGAGGAATAAAATTTGATTTATTTAGACGAGGAATTGCTCCATAAGGGCCGCCATTTCCTTAGGTGGTGTCTTGGACTACCTTCAGCAAACGATAGGTAATTTGTCGTAAAAAAAAGTTATTATAATAATGACAGTGGATGATTATCACTAAAACACATTACAGTCATACCTTATATGGTCCACGGAAGACCGTAATTTTATTGTTAAATTTATTAAAAATATGCAAGACTGTGTTCTACTGTGAGCTGTGGATGTTTCCCCAGGATTGTGACGCTCTTCGTGGCCAAGGTTATCGTTGTGAGGATCCCCATTATCGTCAGAGAGTCCTGGGGCCTCGAAGTGAGTATTAATCGAGTATTGTAACCTGGACATGAGTGGTGAGGAATTGTCGAACTTAGGGATGAGTTGTGAGGAACTCGGTGAACTTGGCATGAATAATAAAGAGTTCTAAATGGTAAAGTGTAAGCAGAATGAATAGGGAGGTGGGAATGGCAGGGATGTGTTGACGTTTCAGAGTAAAGGTCCATAACCGTGAAAGCTGCATCTGCCTCTTTGACATAATTTTTCTCTCTCATTATCACCATCATCACCACCAGCTATTTTAAGGCCACATTTCCTCCGTGATTGGGTTACTCGTGATTACCTGATATCGACCTGAGGTTACCATCAGGTATATATGAAGCAAGTTTCATGACTAGATGCCTTTCCCATCGCCAACTCAAGATGGGAACTTAGCACTATGTATAGGACTTCCAAGCGCCCTCTAAACTGGCTCACCACAGTTCTCACATTGGTATTTAAAGTTACTAATCTCTTATTTTTTTATCACCAGGACAATGTCACCGTGACGGTCACTCCGGAGCAGAATATCAACGAGACTATCAACGTTGACGGCAGCTTGGTGAAGGTGTTTACGGTGCAGCCCCAGAAGCCTAGTGAATTTCCCAAAAAGGAGCCTGAGAAGAAACACCTGGATGACGACTTAGACTCTCTACAGCTGACAGGTATATGACGTCAGAGGCTCGTGTACCAGTTAGATTTTTAGGTAACGGAAATTTGTTAGAGACGCGTGATAGGTAACATTTTAAAGGGCAAAACTTTGGTCAGAGAGCAATGAAGATAAATGTTGAAAGCCGAAAGTTAGTTTTAGGTGAATGCACAGGTCAGGATAGTACGGGGATGGTAGACACAGATTGGTGCGAAAATTTTGTTCTTGGTGGAGTTGAATTAACACTTATCTGGTTGACTGTTGGAATGGCATCATGGGTGAGCTAGTACAGTAAGCTATGACCTTATCTCCAGCAGCTTGTATTAAAAGACCACCGAGTACATTTATATCCACCGGGCCAAGAGAGACAGGGTAAAAACAATTTATTTCGCGCCCTGATATCGTACTTTTTTTCATGTACCATATTGAAGGAAAGTTGTTGCATTTGTCAAGGGCAATTGGTTTTTGGTGGCGGAAGTCAAGAAACTGTAAAATTATTTTCTTTGTGAAACAAACCAGGAAAGGACGCACAATCTTTGTTCTCTTCTTATTAAAAATAAGATTTATTTAAGTGTTGGTTTGTTATAATTCATCAAAACGCATAGATTACGGATACAATGGCGTACTCTGGTCCTAAAAATATTATTGAACCAATAAGAAACACTTTAAAACTATTCACAGATAAATTAATTTGTAGATTGCATTACTGTTATCACCCCAAATAAATTAATTTTGACATTTTGCATTTTCTTTATTCGACTTGTCCTAGAATCAGATACTGTGGTACTAAGTGCTCAGCTGTTTACTTATGTGGCTGATAATTCATCGTTTCATTTTTTCTAGATCCTTTCCAACGGAAGGCTATCGCTGCTCTGGAATCCATTAACCGAATTCTAACTCGGGAAGAGACGGAGAGGAATAAGGTAAATAAGAAGAGCAACCTGGTGGAGCAATGGAAATTTGTGTCTCGCGTGATGGACCGCACACTCTTCATCAGCTTCACCATCATCACCTTCTCTTTCAACGTCGCCATTCTCACCTCCTCGCCTTTCAGACAAAGTTTTGCCTACTGTCCCCTAGGGGAAAACGGAGAGTGTGACGACCTCACCTGGCAGGATATTACCGAATTGACCAACCACGCTGCTTCTGGGACTCACTTTGCACAGGGGGATCAGGAAGATAGTCCTTGGGGTGGAGCTCACGGGGCAGCCTCATCGGCTCACCTGGCTGCGGGTGAAAACGACATGAAAAACATACTCCTGAGCCCAGAGGTTGCCTATGACGGCTTCGATGACCCGCTTCCACAGCATGATTACGGTGGTGGGGATCACGGGGCAGCCTCATCGGCTCACCTGGCTGCAGGTGAAAACGACATAAAAAACATACTCCTGAGCCCAGAGGTTGCCTATGACGGCTTCGATGACCCGCTTCCACAGCATGACCACGGTGGTGGTACCTACAGCACCATGCCCAGAAAGCAGGCTCATGGCGCACTTGCTTCATCTGCGATAATTGAGCTTCATAAAGTTGAGAACCAAGTGGAACACAAAGACCAAGTTGAAGACCACAGTTCAACCTTAATCACCAGAGGCCACCCTAACGGTGGCTGATTAATGGCTTCGCATCTTTAATTCATCATGTTCTTAGATTTTACACTATTGACTAGGAAGTGACATTCAATTATTCAGGTGAAACTTAAATACGAAGAATGCTTCTTTTTGGTATCTGGGCTTATCAGTGGATGTCGCAAGTTATTTCAATTTATTTTATTGCTCGAAACAATTTACATGTAAAGTTTTGTCTCAAGTTTTAGTTTATGTTTTCCACTCAGTACTGGCGAGTCTAGAAATCTGAATGTTAGACTGTGGTGCACGTGTCTAACAATACTCATTATGAAGGGGCTCTAATACTCATTATCTCCACGTGTCATGGTATTTTTTATAAAATTGAAAATGCTTTTCATAAGTGTTGTGATGCACTTAACTTTAAGAGATAATGTAGTAGATACTTCTTGCTATGACCCTGACAAATGTAGGTATTGTAGTAGGCAGCTCCCAAACAGGGAGGTACTACCGCCTGGGAAGATATTGGAAGCAAAATGTGTTGTCTAATGGTAGACCCTGCTGCCATATGTGACCAAGTTCCAGGTTGATGATCTGACTTTCTGCCTCGTTTACACACAATTGCAGGGTCTCAATTGTTTCTCTTACTATTGACAACACAACATACACATATTGTTTCTCACTATTGATCTTTTTTATTTTTGTATTTCTTTATGGTTCTTTATTATTATTATTATTATTATTATTATTATTATTATTATTATTATTATTATTATTATTATTATTGCAGTTGTTATTATTATCATTATTATTATTACTATTACTATTATTATTATTATTATTATTATTATTATTATTATTATTATTATTATTATTATTATTATTATTGCTGTTATTATTATCATTATTATTTTATTATTTTTATTTTTGTATTTTTTATTAAAAATTTTACTCCTCTGGATTATTATTATTATTATTATTATTATTATTATTATTATTATTAATACATTTTCGTCCCCCAGGCCCTGATGTGGGTCAGTGACCTGTGCCCGTTTGGGCAAATCCCTGTATATATATATATATATATATATATATATATATATATATATATATATATATATATATATATATATATTATATATATATATAACACTTTCTTATCAAAACTTCATAATATAGTATTTAAGAGGGTTTATGTTCACTCAAATAATAGAAATGAAATCTGTCTCCATTGCTCACCACTCCAATACCTTTTTCGCATATAAGAAGGGTGTTATCGAGTGTCCCTCTCAACCATTGCAAGTTTTCACCTGATACTACGCTCCCGTTTCCTTCCGTATTAACACTGGACAATGAAAAACAAAAACATTAGGAACTGTCAAAGAGGTAAATTAAAATAGAGCGTCTAAATTGCAAATAAAATTACTTGAAACACTGTTTCAAAGTACCATTTTCTATGAGTGGGAATTGTTCGTGTACAAGAAGTAAAAGAAAATGTAAATGAACATTACTAACTTATAAAACTCAATTTATTTTAATGCCCGGCCGAGTAATCATTACTATGAAAACAGCACTACCACCAGGAGTTGCTCTTATTTATTAAGTGTTTTAAAGGAGGTGACAACTTTTTATTTTAATGATAAAAATTTATTTTATTATTAGTTTTCCCTCTAAACGATCATGAATCACCTGTAGTGGGCTGGTCATGGATGTTGAGGGAAACTACAAAGGTAAAACACGGTGAAAAACTTATCATATGACGCAAAATGATGTCTCTACGTGCTTTGTACGCAAATAAATTATTTACCGTAAATAATCCTCCAAAATATATGCCGTGTCACCGCTTTTTATAATTCAATTTAATTAATTTATTACATCCCAGGGGGCGACAAGCCTAGTCACAAGACCATGCGGCCAGACACTCATACAGTAGTACTCGTGTGATACATTGATGTGAGTTGAGGACAAGGGGATCACAGCCCTTGTTGACTCTTATCTCACGTCAACAAAAGTGTTTTCTTTGGTAAAAAAAATCTAAATAAGTAATTTCTCTTTAATATGATGGGGTTCGTAATTAGGTTAGGTTAGTAGATTTTTGTAGTTGGTTAGGTCAGGTATCTTAGGTTTTAGTAAATGTTACCTCTTTAAATACTCACAATAATGATAAGAACATTTGTTTAAAAATTAACGAAATTGAACAACTTCTGGTGGGAATGCTGTTCCCAGATAATTAATATTAACCAGAGACTAAAAGAAAGACTGAAAAGCGTCTATCGTTATCGATGAAAATTCCTGAGCCACGAAGCTCCAATCAACTCCATCTGTTGGCAACGCGGCTAACTAAAGACTTGGGGCGCGTGACGGTAGCTTGTCCTTGTTTCCATGGTAACCAGCGGAGTGAGCTGATATTACCTTGACGTCTTTATCTTGACGTTCTTAATGTGTTCACACGCGTACACATTGACACACACCATACAATATCATCACACAGTAAATTCTATATGATCAATGATATATAGCAACGTGAAACATAAGCTCAGGGTGATGGTGACGCCCACTCATGGTTAAATGTCCCGGTCTTCGTGTAAACATACAGACGACCCGCGCCTTGCACACTAACGCCATCTGTTGATCCCGCGGCAAACTATATGTTATGTGGCTTACTCGATTTTTGCCTTACTTTCCCGCCTTTCTTATATCGTCTTTAATATCAACTACTAGCGTGATGTTGTTGACTTTTCATTAAAATCCTTTAACCATAAAACGACGGCAAAGTGTCAAATTAATTATAAGTTGTACAAATATTACACTCCAGTAAATTTCCAGACAAATATAAAATGAGGTTTGGATGAATAGAGGAACTTCGAGATTTAAAGAAAAGTGGAGTTTGTTGGTACAAGGACACAGTGTTGACAGCAAGTGACAGCCGACATGTGTCACTGGCTACTGCTAGTTGTGATCTTGGCTTTGTTTGTGGATAATATATCGCTGAAACAGGGTTATTTAAGGGGCGAGAGAGAAGAGTAAATATGCAAGAAAACGTGACGTGTCAGTGCAAGCGTCATAAATCAGGTAAGGTGTATTTACTTATATCTGTAGGCGTAATTGTAAGGCGAATATATCTATTGGTAAGGAGACAATTGGCTGACTTGTCTGTTTTGCATGTCTATTGATAAAATATATCGCAAAGTGCCAAAGTCGTTGAAAGTTGCATTTGATAATAATTATTGAACTTTTGTCTGAGTTCCATATGTAATGAAAATTTGAGCTCAGTAAAGCGTGATAATAATATCGAACATATGACGATGCACTGGAGAACACATCATAGCATTTCGTCACGAGTGTCAAATTGTAAAGACGAAAAAGTAACGATACATTTTTTGAGAACTACACGCGACTTGCCATGATGACACCGATGGTCTGAGTGACATCATTACCTGGTATGAGTTATAACATTAAGTATTTGTAGTGGATATTTTGCCGTGACCTGCTAAGTTCCTACTAACGCTATTTTACCGTGAGTGCAGTCTGATTGGCTATATACTGTACTTTCTGTTTAATATGACCTGCTTGGAAGTTAGGTTAGGTAGGTCGGCGAGACGGTGAAGAATATGAAGTAAGCAGTTTTAAAAATCACACTTCTTTGTGTGTTGTGAAATCATAGATAGAATAACCAGTTCTTAGTTGCATAGTCCAATTACTATTACTGAAGGAAGGGTAATTATATAGGACTAACCCGCGAGCGAAATTGATGGAAAATTATAAATATGGCGGATTTTCAAAGTTATATTATATTGGACACGTGTAGTTTGTGGACACGTGTTAAAAAATTGATATTTTTAAAATAAACGCTACTTAACATTTGTAGGTATGAAGAACAGACCTAACCTAACCTAACCTAACCTAACCTAACTTCTTCGGTATATTAAACAGAAAGAACTTAATATTTTCTGGACGTGAGATGATACGGCCGCATCGGCGCTATGCAGTCCTGGCGGGTTAGTCCTATATATTAACCAAAGGAAGTCCTGTTGCTTTTAAGTTGTACAATACAAGTGTCCAACAAATAATTTCACCATTTGATGCATTCGCAAGAGTAAATTTCTGTTTGTAGCGAGATGGTAATCATACGTTGGCATATAAACATGTGAATAGCCTATAATGTTTCGGTCTGGAATGAAATGTTCAATGTCACGAAATAAACAGTAAGCAAACACATTTATCTTACACACGAAAAATAATCAAATTGGATTTACTCGGTGCTTCGGAAAGTTGACGTTATATCATCTTGTCTTAGGTAGAGAACGGACGTCAGGTGATTTGTTGCCAAATCTTGAATAAGTACTGTACTTAAATGTTTACTCAGTACCAGTGCTCGACGAAGTTTTTAGCTCCCCAAGGGTCTCACTAGCTTACAAAGGCATCCCATACAATACGAAATAATTTAATGACGTACAGTGTTCTGGGAACTCAAAAATAAAGGGAAAATACTGTAGGCTAATTTATACATTTGTAGGTATTTGTTTTGAGATCCTCTGGCACGTGAATGGTGTCGTCTGATGATTTTATTGCTTTAATCCTGGAAATCTAATCCTTTAGCTGTAAGATGTGTATGTTAACATTGGGAAATTTCATGATTTGATACAGGGATGTCATTCTTCACTGAGGCCACTAAGGATAAAATTAGAATATGTTTGACGTGAAATTGTTTACGGAAATTGAAACCTTTCCCTTGATGGGTTATTTAGATTAGTAATTATACATAGAGGTGTATAATATATATTGCATTATTCACTATATACATTATATATATCCAAACAGTCACTCAATCTAATGTGCTATTTATTTTTAAAGGTGCCCACTGTCGTGCGTTCCAAAGGATGACTCCAGTAGTTAGGCTAGACTACTTGCATTTAGTGTAGGACTCATACATCCTGTTTACAGTAATAAAGAAAGCCACCCAACACGTCTTACAACAACAATGACCCACATGATAAACTAGATTTAGTTCCATATAAAGTATATAATATGTACTATCTGTAAGAAGACAGAATAAATTAACCGTGAATGTGATTTTGTATTATTTTGGGGTCACAAAAGGAATATGAATAATCATCTTCCCGGCCAACAGGTATACTGTACAGTACAGTATATATGTATGGGGGGGGGGCCTGTGGCTCGCCAAGTGTCTAAAGGTGACCCGCGACCATACTCGAGTTCCGTGTTGTTTTTTTTCTCTCTTAACCAGGGGGGGAGGAGGGGGTATAGAATTTGTCGATAGATTCGGATGAAATTTAGATGATATATATATATATATATATATACACACACTATTATAAGACTTACTTATAATAACGGAACTGCATTGGAATGGTGTTCCAGGGTAGCGGTTATGCCTATTAAATCTGCATAGATTATTAATAATATTGAAAATTATAGGTGGCCCCCGAAGAACTCTTTAAAATTTCAATCTGCCTCTCCGACATCAGAAATTTTCCCACCCAAGGTGTAGTAAGCCCATAAAACGCTTGCCAGTTCTCTTGTGATTTAGTATAGTTATCTAGCGTCTCTTAAGGAAATAAACACAAACCTAGGAGGTTGGCTACATAAGTTTGAATTTGTTTGTTATAATCTTATTACTGCGCTTCAACAACGAAGGTCTTTAAGCGCATAACAAGGTTGGTAAAGCACCAGTCCAACAATATTAAAAAAAATTATGAGAAAGAACTGATGTGTTGGAATGTTTTTTATTTATTTATTTATTTTTTTAAATAAGTGATTATGATAATATTGTAGGTTAGGTTCGGATTATATAGTAAAAATTTTTTTGTTTCATACTCTCACTTTGTAACATTAAGTATGATTTAACATGAAAGTTATCACAACTTAGTAATAACCTCGATTTCTTAAAGGGTGTAAGGTGTTTAATGAAATTTTACTCGCCAAATACATGTCTTGGAGGTCTGTTTGTAGCGTCACATTAATACATGAGGCGGAACAAAAGATTGTCATTACACAAAAGTTATCCCTGTTTTGATTTACGTTTTCTATAAATAAAACGTTTACAAGAACACGCGTCCCATTTTGACGTTTAACTTTACTTTTACTTTATCCTCTTCGCCACTGATCGGCTTGTTAGCCGCTTGGGCGATCGGTCACGTCTCTGATTACTTTTCCTTTTCATTTATCTTCTTCACCAAAAGATCGGCTCGCTAACCGCCCGGGCGATCGGTCACGTCTCTGTCACGCACTGTTGGCAAATACTGGGCATGCACCGGCTCCTGAATGTACCTGAACCCGCTCCAGTGTTGATCAAGTCTTGTCTTGAAAGAGCTCACACTCGGTGCCGTCACAACACTCTCTGTGGTAGATTGTTCCAAGAGTTTTCCGGACTTGCGGCTTCTTCAATCTTGAGCTGTGACCCCTTGTGGGGCGAGCGTCCGCCAGCTCCAAGTAAGGACACTCAACTGAGTACAGTAGTGCCCCCTGAGATGCTTATACACCTCAACGAGGTCCCCCCCTTGCCCGTCCGTAGTATAAGCTTTGACTTAAAGTATATTTTACGGCTAAAAAATTTCCTAAAATAGATTTCTATCTTAGTCGACATAACTTCTAAAGCTGTAAAGTTTTCTTGTACTGAAAATATAGGAAATGTTTGGGCGCTAAGTGTATGAGAATCTAAGAAACTTAAGTTTGCTTATTTTATACTGGATGAAGCCTTCAGACCTTCATTCAGTTATTGTACGATACTGGGTATAAAATCAGAACTGGTGGCACGACTGTTTGTACCAGGGCTTTAATTATGTACTTCTTGCTACAGAGTCAGTACCGTACTTCAAGCTTTTGGTAGCAAGTTATTATTCCTCAGTATGGCCTGTGAATAAATCTGAAGCCACTTAAAACAGCTGTTATTGCTAAGTTATAGTGTCCTTTCGGTCGACGTAAATTTGGGTAAAGTCTCAAGGTAATTTATAGGTGTTAGTAACAGGGATTCCCAAAGTTTTTATGCTGAATATTCTTCGTAACTGAAGTAGAAATATCCCTGAAAATTACGCAATGAACGTATCAGTAATGTATTCTATTATTTAAAATTTGAATAAAGCACTACAGAGATGAAGTTACTGCAAGAAAAAGGGTGATTTTTTTATTACTGGCCTATAACTGACGTGAAAAGACGCACTAGCCTCAGAAAATGCACTGCGGTACTTGTCATATCTGTAGTCAATTTTGTTTATTTTCTAGATCTATTTTCGTTTGACTTGGCGCACCATTCCACCTAAGGACTCCAATGGAAATGCAAGGATACCATATGAAACCTTTACAACTTTGAATCGTTAAATTTTAATGGTATTTGCTTTGTTGAAAAGAACATTTCCTAAAGTTAATATGTACTCGCTGCCAATCACTATTCCACTTATATTTGATCCCAATCAGAAGATAAAATTATTTCAAGTTGTAAAGATTTTATGTGGACATCCTAAATAAGTCTTGCTAATAACTATCTTGGACTGTCCTTCCTTGGGTAAACAGGCATGTTGTTTACAATGTTTTTATTGCTGCACTGTCTGTGTACAAGTTGAACTAATGTGTACTTTCAAGACGATTTTAATAACCGTCTCATATAGAACTTCCATACATATGTAACAGAAGCCAACCAGGGAAAATAATAAAAAGAAAATAACTTCGTTTGTATTTATTCTTGGATGATAAACATATGGACAATCTACTTTGTATTTAACAAGACAAATACTTAAAAAAGGTGCAACTTGTATGATTGAATTTAACAAAATCTTAAAAAAATGCAACTTACTGCATATGAATACACTCTGTCAACACTTATAAATAATGGACGAGACGCCCGCCCGACACCTCATTCCACGGCTACCTGAAAAAGGTTTTCGCGTGGAGTGTGGCACCCCCTGCCAAGCTGCTAGTGGTTGTGGCAGGGGTGGTGTGCGGGCGTGGCTTGTATGGCAGGGGTGTTGTACGGGCCTGGATTAACTGGTAGGGGTTGTGTGTGGGCGAGGTTTCTCCGGCATGGGTGATGCGTGATGTGTGGGCGTGGCTTGTCCACCATGGGTTGTGGGCGTGGCTTCTCTGGCAGGGGTGGTATTTGAGCGTGGCTTGTTAGTAAAGGATAGTGTGGGCGTGGTTTGTCTGACGTGAATGATGTGGGCATGGCTTGTCCGGAGTGGGTGATATGTGGGCGTGGTTTGTCCGGTAGGGATTGTGGGCGTGACCTCTCCGGCAAGGGTGAGGATAGCTGTAGCTCACCTTTATCTGTAAATAGATAGTGATGTTAAATTCAGATGTACAGTACTATTAATATTTCAATAATCATAACACTAGTCCTCGACAGTACTTAATTAAATGATACCTAGTTTATCACAGGGAATTGTGACACTTGGCAAAGCATATTATGAAACTTCGGTATTTACTGAAGTTAAGCATAACAGTTCATACCAGCAATATATAGAAATGATGTTAAATAAAACATGATACTTTGGAAAGCTTTAGACTGCAAAACGGAAGAGACATTCTCATGGGGCTTACCTGATGTAGTGACGACGTCGGGATTGTGATGGTGACGAGTTGCTCCTGCCCATGTTTTGAAGGGACTTGCTTACACCAGCTACTTGCTAGTTTTAGGGGAACCACATCGGATAGTATGTCATTTTAGGGCCCCATGTCATACACAGGGCCATCTTATAAGGCTCCATATCACAAGGTCGTCTTGAAAACCTCAGGTCACACTTAGAGCCGTCTTTAGGTGCCACAGAGGGTCGTCTCGAGTGCCCCAATTCGCAGATATTGTCTTGAGGGGTCCAGTATCACACACAGGGTCGTCTTGAGGTCCACCATTACACACATGGTCGTCTTGAGGTCTCCACGTAACATGCAAGGTCGTTATTTATTGCCCCATGTCACACTGTCTTTTTGAGGGTCCACCATCACACGTAGCGTCGTCTTGAGGGTTCCATTTGACGCCGAGGGTCATCTTGAGGGCCCCGCAGTACACAAGATCATCACTTGGCACTTAGGCTACACCAGCTCCATTACAATAGTCACCACACCCCAACGTCAGTAACCTAGACGGTCATCCTGCTTCTGTAGGATGACATCCGAGTCTCCGGGACAGCTGGCTTGCTGAGGGTCACGGCCGCGGCAGGGACCAGCTGCACAGGCGGCAACTCGGGGCCTTCTGGCTACAAACAACAAAAATAAAGGAAGGGGTGAGAGGTTTCAGGAGGTGGGAGCCTCTATATCATCATCCTCCAACACAGAGTCGCTGCTGGTGTCAGTCTCGTCTTTGGGGTGTAAAGGCGTGGCCAGTTCCTCCTGCAAGTCGTAGATATAGTCAATCACAAACTGGATCAGCTCGAGGCGGGGCACAGGACGATCCTTAGGACACTGTGGCACCAGCTGCTGCAAACGATCCAAGTACATAAGTACTTGTGTGGCCTCAGCCTTAGTCGAGGGTTTCCCAGCCTTTCCTTCTAACACTCCCATCACTGCTTGTAAGGGGGAAGCGCAGCGCTGAGCCTTCATTCTCCTTCTAACGATTTGTGTTGTGTTTCCCTGTTGCTACTGAGAGCGAGTAGTGGCGCCCCGCGCTGGTCGCGGGTATTTATAGGCGGTGGCCGGCTAAGCCCCGCCCCTGGTAGGTCCCATGCAGGTGGGTGGTGGCGAGCGACAGCTGGGGCGACCTTCTCACGCAGGAGGCCGACACAGCACCCAGGTGGCCACCACGGCGCCTCACTCCAGCTGCTCCCTATTTAGCCACAACATGTCTCTCTACTAAGTCTACGTGTTTCTTATCCTCAGAGTCAGCTCCAATACTACCACCTCACCACATCAACACTTCTCAAGGTGGATTAGAGAGTTCCCACGGGCCTGTCCCTCGTCCTCAACCCTGCCCCTCACCCCCTGCCGGTCAACAGATGTTCCAGTCCCAGGGCATACCAGCCTCCCCCCTCCCTCCTCCCCCTAGACGGCCTGCCTCATGTTCTCACACCGCCCCACTCACACATATACGTCCAACACCCCACACCCACCTTCACCCACACACACCCACATCCAATACCCCACACATCCACTCACACACACACACACACACACACACACACACACACACACACACACACACATATATATATATATATATATATATATATATATATATATATATATATATATATATATATATATATATATATATATATATATATATATATATATATATATATATATATATATACTTCATTTTTAGTCCATATAACACGCGGACTTTGAACATATAATCAACGACCTCACCAGCCAGGAATCGAACCCTCGACCTACTGGGTGGGACTAGGGAACGCGGCAAGCGTTCCCTAGTCCCACCCAGTAGGTCGAGGGTTCGATTCCTGGCTGGTGAGGTCGTTGTATATATATATATATATATATATATATATATATATATATATATATATATATATATATATATATATATACACACCTCCCCACACACACACATATATACTCCCAACAAACACACATACCCCCACAGACACATCTCCAACACCCTCACTCATAGTGATTCATCCACACACCAAACAGCCCAAACACCTACCCCGTACACTACGGCTACACCAACAAGGCATCACTTGTACCATTCATGCCCTCCACTCTTAATGTACCCCCACCCAACACGTGGGCCTACCCTTCGTCCTCCTCTCTCCTACCCTTCGTTCTCACACCTACCCATCCTCCCACTCCTAACCTCCGCCCCTCCTACCCTAACCTTTCATTTCAGACGATTTCATTTAAACACTATCGATGGTCATCTGTCTCGCCTGAAAGCTTTCGTCGAATAGATTTTCCGTCCAGTCGTTAAGTCTTTCGCCCTGTCATAGCTCATCCGTCGTGTCGTGGGATCACAGTTGTCTTCTGTCGCAAGTCGGATTACCTGTGTTATAAGACTACAGCCAAAGAAACCACTAACATAGTTATATCTTCCAGACTACGCTTACCAATCTAACCAATCTTGACGTAATCCTCCCCTAAACTAGCCTAAGCTAAGCTAACCCTGACTGACATAAACCCAGCCTGACCCAGCCTAACCTAATCTGACCTAACCTAACCCAGGCTATCCGAAATTAACGCTGCCAACCCTAACCTAAACTGATCTAGGTGATCCTAGCCGAAATTTACCTAACATAACCTCACCTAAGCAAACCTAACGTGACCCAAAACTTTTTTTAGCTAGCATTGACTTGACTCCTCCCCCCCCCCGGGAAAAAATTAGATCAGCTGAGCTATTCGTTGTACTTTGACCACTTTGCTCTGCTGTGCGGTGCATTAGTAAGCCAGCCATGCCCGGCCGACATTCCCACACCTCCTCCAGGGACGCGCACTGGTCGCTTCTCTCTGTAATTGTTGCCACACATTCAAACAACACAACGTCCGCTCCCATCCCGACCTAGCGACGTGTGTACTGTATGTGCGTGTGTAGGGTAGGGAGTTGAATGTGTGTACACGAATTTAAGTGTTAAGTGTGTTTATTTCGTTGATGTACGGATGTGTGTGTACACAAGCCTACGGGTGTGTGAGTGAGTGAGAGAGAGGGACACAGCTGGCCTGCACATACACATCCGCTTCCTGTCACCGTGGGAGACCACACACACACACACACACACACACACACATACACACACACTATACAGCTGCCCCGTCACATCCATGCCTGTCCCGTCACATTCACACACCTGCCGTAACATCCACATTAGCCCCGTCACATTCACACTTACCCCGTCACCCCCCACCCCCCCATATACTCCACACCCACACTTGACCCCTCACACCCACACCTACTTCGCCACACATGGCACCTGTCCACCCACACATACTCTGTCAAAATTCATGCTTGTCCCGTCACACACCACTCCAACCCCATTACATATTCATACTCACACACCATCACTTACCTGTTCCCACACATCTCACCTGTTCGATAACACTTCAAAATTTTCTCGTCACATTCAACTGTTCCTCTTAACACACCACACCATCCACTACATCCCGTCATTTACCACATCTGCCCGTCTTATGTCACATCTGCTCCGTCACACGCCACATCTGCCCCGTCACACGTCATCTGCCCCATCACACGTCACATCTGCCCCGTCACACGTCTCATTTGCCCGTCCCGTCACATCTGCCCTATCACACGCCACATCTGCCCCGTCACGTCATCTGCCCGTCACGTCATCTGCCCCATCACACGCCACATCTGCCCCATCACGCCATCTGCCCCGTCACGTCACATCTGCCCCATCACGCCACATCTGCCCCGTCACACGTCACATCTGCCCCGTCACACGTCTCATCTGCCCCGTCACACGTCACATCTGCCCCGTCACACGTCTCATCTGCCCCGTCACACGTCACATCTGCCCCATCACGCCACATCTGCCCCGTCACATCGTCACACGCCACATCTGCCCCGTCACGTCACATCTGCTCCGTCACACGTCACATGTGCCCGGTCACATCTGTCTGTGCCGTCACGTCACTGCCCCGTCACACGTCACATCTGCCCCGTCACGCCACATCTGCCCCGTCACGCGCCACATCTGCCCCATCACACGCCCCATCTGCCCCATCACACGCCACATCTGCCCCATCACGCCACATCTGCCCCATCGCCACATCTGCCCCATCACACGCCACATCTGCCCCATCACACGCCACATCTGCCCCATCACGCCACATCTGCCCGTCACACGTCATCTGCTCCGTCACACGTCATGTGCCCCATCACACACCACATCTGCCCTGTCACACACCACATCTGCCCGTCACGTCACATCTGCCCGTCACGCCACATCTGCCCCATCACGCCATCTGCCCCATCACACGCCACATCTGCCCCATCACACGCCACATCTGCCCCATCACACGCCACATCTGCCCCATCACACGCCACATCTGCCCGTCACACGTCACATCTGCCCTGTCACACGTCTCATCTGCCCCATCACACGCCACATCTGCCCCATCACACGCCACATCTGCCCGTCACGCCACATCTGCCCCATCACACGCCACATCTGCCCCATCACACGCCATCTAGCTCCTCCTGTGTCTAGTGCAGTACTTCACTCAGGTCATTTGACTAAACAAGGAGGTGTCACTCTCTTACCCCCCCGTGGGTGCCAGAAGTGCCAGGGGGTTGGAGTGCTGGGGGAAGGGAGTTATACTAGCTTGTGTAAGTTCCTACCCCTACCCCCTCCCTTCTTCCACCCACCTCGATCACATCCTTCCCCTCCCTCCCTTCCTCCCTCTCCATTTCCTCTCCTCGTTCCCTCCTCCCCCCTCCGCCTCCCTCCTTGTCTTCCTCTACGTCGTCTACCACCTCCTTATTTCCTCCTCCCTTTCCTCACCACACCAACTATCCACCATTCTTCTTTCTTATGACCTCCTCCTTCTCCTCTCTTTAAAATATCCTCCCTTCTCCCCCTTTAAAATCTCCCCCCACGTAACATCTCTCCTACCTCCCCCTCTTTAAAATCTCCCCCCACGTAACATCTCTCCACCCTCCTCTCACGTAACATCTTCTTTCCCTATCATATAATGTAAATAGTCAAAATATCCGTGAGTAGTCATAGGCCAAACGTGAGAGGCGTCAGAAGTCTTCAGCCGATGACGAGATGGTATTTATATTTTTCCAGACATCCTGTAATTACTGACGTGTTCTGTATATATATCTGATAACATAATAGGAAAAGTTGGAACAGAGTATTGTGTACAGGCATAGAAGAAAGAAGATCCTAAAATGGTAAAACAAAGGATAATTATTAACTTATTATAGGAAGAAAATAGATGAAAAAAAATCGAATGAAAAATTAGAATAGGGGAATTAATTATGAAAGGTTCCAACAGTTGATAGTAGTTAGTTGCTGAGTGGTAATTAGACACAGTTTTGGCTCCCATTTTTTAACCATAAGTAAATAAGCA